TTATATTGACAATAAATATTTTTTCAACATAAATTATTTCTGAATTGAAGCGTTTCGATATATGGTAAATAAAATAGAGAAGATTAAATTGTGTTTTCGACTCCCGCATTCATACTTTACAATTTTTTAATTTTTTTTGCTGATATTAAATAATAACTATTTATTGATTAAATGTTACTTATTAATAAAAGTTAATAATAATAATAATAATGATAAGAGAGACTATTATTACCCAACACATGTTAATAACGTATTTTAAGGGGCGATTTTTAACAAATTAAAATAGGTTTGGACTTATATATCCAAGTTCAAATTGTAGAAAAAAAAACATTAATAAAATTTTTGACACATCTTTAATATACACACTAATAAAAGTTATATAATGTAATTCCGACGCCACATATCTCTAAATTCAGGGGCGTATTGCATTAAGACCAGTGTGGGCCTAGGCCTACACTGAAAAAAAAAAAAAAATTCTATGACTTAAGTACCTCGAACTCAAAATATACACTACAAAAAAAATTCCGACATTTCAACGGAAATTTTCTGTTGTAATTCTTTATATTCTCCGTTGGAATAGCTATTTCAACGGATATTCGTACGTATAAAAATTCGTGGGAAAAACGACCATTGGAATAGCTAAATCCAACGTAAAATCCTATGGAAATAAATTTCTACAACTATTCCAACGGAAAAAATCTGTTGGAATTTCTCAACCATCCAACACTTATTCCAACATAAAATTAAGTTTGTTGGAATATTCATTAGAATTTCTAACAGAAATTTTTGCCGTTGGAGTTTTTCGTTGGAATTGAAGTATTTTCTTGTAGTGATAGCTTAATAGCCCATTACTAAAATAAAAAATAAAAATTATGGACAATTTTTACATAAGCACCAAAAAAAAAAAAAAAGAGAACGACATAATAAAGAAAAATCTTACTAATTTTTGTGAAAGTAAATTTAACCTTCTTATCATTCTTAAATTATAGACTCTTAAAAGTTTGATGTATTAGTAAAGCATCTTATACATTACAATTTGTTTTTCTAACATCAAATTATGGGGAAATATTTTTTAAAAATGCCTCGAAAAAAATAGTTTGTGAAAATATTTTTAAATGAGATACTTTCATTCCAGATATACTTGAAGTGAATTTTAATATAGTCAGTTCAAAAGAAATGCGACGAAAAATTCGACAATGTTATTATCGAGCAATATTGAGCTATAAAAACTCATATGTTCATTATAAATTTTTGTTTTTATAGTTATATTTTTTATAATAGTATAATATAGTGTTTTGTAATAACATGAGAGGCCCTCACTCATTCTATCTAATATCTTGAAGCAGCCACGGATCAATACTAATTCGCATACATAATTAATAAAACTTTTTTTAATTTTTTGGGTACAAAGAATATTAATAAAACTTTTTTTATTTTTTTGGGTACAAAGAAGGAGGTCGTAGACACGATAACGATTAATAAAACTTTTTGACACACTAAGTAATAACACACATGCGCACATTTGGTATGGTTTTAGTAGAGGGTCACATTCCACACGGTGACCACATCATGATAGCAACTAAGTCAGATATAAAAAGAGACACCAAAATCTACTTATTATATTAATCCCACTTCACACGCAATCAACAAACATTATCATAGTTGATATCACTTTAAGCCAATGCCGTTTTCAACGCTCGAATAAACTTTTTTTTTTTTTTGGCTAGTCCAGTCACGATCGGAATTATGCTCTGACTAATTCGGAGATCGACTCGGATCGCACACCTGACAGTGGTAGGTGAGTCCCCCAACAAGGTTTTCTGCATCTACAAAGACTCAAACTCAAGACCTTGCTTAAGCGACATCAAGCTATTTATTACTCAAGCCAACTTCTTTTGGTTTACGCTCGAATAAATTTTATAATATTCGTCATATATATATATACATTCAAGTGGAAAAAGGAAAAAAAAAAATGTAAAGGAAAAACTATCTAATAAGTGGATTTGGACGATTTATTTAAAATTGGGACCAATCTTATGAAATACAAATAATTTTGTATAAGTTGACTATCTTTATACAAATTATAGTACCGCACACTTACAAATTGCATATATAAAATAATATTATTCAAAATAAAATAATTGTGTAATATATACCACATTATATATATGATATGCATTTTAGTATTAGAATAATTACTTGAAGTCAAATTTGAAATTCATTTTTTCAATAGAATAAGATGTATACTATTTTTAAAATTTACCTAAAGTTAATTTTTGAACCAAAAAAATAAAAAAAAAAAAAACAAACAAACAAAAATAGAAAAAATAAAAAATAACTAAAAAAAAAATCTTCTCAATATATGCACAAGCTTTAAACTTTTTTTTTGCCCGAGTCTATCTTGTTCCAAAAAAGACATGCAACTTATTCTTGAAACAAACATCACAAGATTTTACTAATTCCAAGCAATTACAACTATCCATTATTCATCCATGAATTATGACTGCAAACGAGTCGAGCATTGATCTTAGTAGAATTGATTTTTCTTTTGCTCGAGCTCGATTTACAAGGCTCGAGCTCGACTCGATAAAAAATCATAAAAGCTCGAGCTTGGATCGAAATTAAAATTCTCGAGCTCGGCTCGGAAATTTTTAAATAGAAAAGTAAAATCACCATTAAGCACATACGTTTATATATATATAAAGAGCATTTTAGTAATTTAACATATATCTCGAGTAGCTCGAAAACGCAAAGTATGGGTTCGAGCTCGACTCGAGCTCGAGTCGAGCTTTGACTCGAGCGCTAGCTGGCGAGCTGCTCGGTTCGTTTGCAACCCTACTCATGATACTCTACCAAAATGATTCACATATTGAAAAGTTTTACTAGTTCCTAGTTATAATAATCACAAGTATTCGATCATTTATGATACACTATCAAAATGATTCACATATTGAATTATCGGTAAATGTACAAAACAACTATTTTCATTATAATATTGTTAAAATCAACAAACTGGATTTTGTCAACACATATTTATTGCATTGTACTTGTCCAAGCATGAAAAATATCGTGGCCATAATTTGAGATAAAACAATAATATGCCAAGTTAATTGCTATCATTTGTGAAGGAAAAAAAAGTGACTTAGTTCGAATCAT